TTACAATCAATTTTATAACAATCTTGGTATAATTTATTAGGGCATTCCCAATGACAAAAAAAAAAAAAAGAAAGAAATCCAGTAAGACTGTTTTTAAGACTCTGAATGTATATAAATATCAACTTTGAGACTATTTTTAGTTTGATCTTTTGTCTGATTCACTGGTACATACCAATTGTTTTGTACCAAGCACAGTCAGAGCCTGGTAGCCAGTTGAACTGGGTTTACAACTTTGGAAGCTGCTAGACGAATAACTTTCATGTGCTGTCTTGACTGGAAAAAGATTCATTTCCAGTTTATGGTCATACTGTGGCAGACACACCCCTCCCTTTGTGATAATAAATGAGAGACAGTATTCCATGATACAGATCTTTAATATATTGACTGGTTTTGGAAGGTGCCACTGTAGAAATTTCATAAGCACAAAACACACAGTTTCCTAATACAGGTAAAACTCGGTGCAAGCAGTTTCCCACTTGGTGCCTCTGGTGTTTTAGAAGGCTTTTCCTTTTAATGGTTCTCGAGCAACTGTATAAACCCAGAGGATTAGAGGCTGCCTGCAGAAGAGCACCAAGAAGGGCAGCTGTTGCTCTCTTCAGCATTTTTCTGCTGAGCAAAAGTATCTCAAAGCCATCAGGACAGCTTAATGCCACTACATGCTAAAAAAGTCATGCATTACAGTGATTGTGGGTACATACAGTCCTGCTGACTACTTCCTGCTGAATCCCTGCCCAGCAGAAACCGCTTCATGGCTGATTGATTGCTTCTTGTTTTTTAATTGAGCAAAACTGGAGAAGATGTGTATGTTTTAATTCAAATGGAAAACTAACTAGCAGATTCCAGAGGCTTCGCCTTTTCTTGTCTGTGAGTACATTTAGCTCAGCAAAAGGGCTTAGTAAGTTAATGAAGAGATTTGCAGGAGGGACTAGCACCTCCCTGTATTTTATACTTTTATATGTTAGTTTATAAATACTGAAGTATGTTTTCCAAAAATAACTCGGTCCCATCCTTTTGTTTGGAAACCTGTCTTTTTGGGTGGTTTTATGGGTTAATTAGTTTCTATTTTTAACTGGATTTATGGGATATTTTCTTTAACTGCTTCAACCCATAGCCTCCTACTCTAAGAGGAACTTAACCAAAAGCATACTGTTACTCTGCACGCTGCTGCTAAAACACACGTTATTCCTCAGGATCCTCCCTTTGATTAAAATCTTTTTCTCTGCATGTTTCAGAAACCATTTTGGACTGTTCAGAACAAGGCTTGAGAACGGACATGTGTTGTTTTATTTCAACAGGAAGTAGGCTGACACTGTCCCAATATCTATTATGGCCAGCCGATGTGCCGAAAACATCTATTTACAGGGACAGGCTTGCAGTCATACTACTGTAAGCTTTTGAAAGCATTCCTTTGTAGTCCAACCTTAGACTTTAGGCTGAATTTCAGGTTTTACCTCTGTTCCTGCTGTCTGAATGGCCGACCAGATGAAAGCCTATATAAATGGCACCTATTTTGATTCATTTATATGCTGTGGTTCTGCAGTGGGCACTCAGCAGTGCGAACACACATGTGCATTTACTCATCTCCTTACATTACTGTCCTCTTCCAACATCTTCCTTTTCCAGAATCTTTATCCATAGCTTTCTAACATTGCCTTAAAATCCTTGTATCTACTGTCTGCCTATTTTCTTTGTTTACAATAGGATAAAAGGTAGATTGCATATTAGCAGTAGATATTTTAGATAGAAAAATTATCCATCTTTTGATGTTTTACTTGGCTCTTATTCTGTAAAAATACAAAAAGCAAGAGGAGAGACAAAAGTGGCAAAACAATGATTTTAAAGCTTTTTTTTTTTTTTTCCTTCTAATAAGATGAATTCCCTGATGGAGTATCTTTCTTGCTGTTTTTTTTTTTTTTTTTTTTTTTTTTTTTTTTTTTTTTTTTTTACATTTTTCCTCAAATGTTAATCTTAAATGTTCTTTTCCTGATTTTCCCCCCGTTCTCTTAAGTTTAGCAAAGGCTAAATTATTTTTAACCTCATTGTGTCCTTATCAAAGACCACTCTACTCTGCCATGCAATAGGTCTGAGCTTTTTTTGATCTTCACGGGTTTTGCATTCTTTTTCCTCCAGATATATGTTTCATAGCAGGCCTTGCTTCAACTCTGGTTTGTGTTAATCTTCCATCTGTAGAAAAGCCTTTGAAGATGGCTTGCAGAAGTACATGGCATCTTTTCATCTCCACGTTATTGGTTGAAGCTGTATCAAATCCACTCAGGCCAGAATCTGTTTCCAACCACTAGTTCAGCAGCTACAATATAACAGAGACATCTCCATATCTGGTACCACTATAGCAAATGCTGGTCTTCCTGCTATGGAGCAAACATCACTGGAGGACCCAGTGTAAGGCCCAGGTTCATTTATAATTTACTGCTTGAACAGTGAGTTTTGTTCTTTTATTTGGTGGTGTCAGCCCAGCATTCTTAACAAACTCCATCGCCCTCTTGTCTTTAGGGAACATTATTTGTGAAGGCCAAAACATTTTGCTGTGCTGCTGCTCCCTCATGGATGTAACATAAATAGTATGTAGAGGTTTTCTAGTATTCTTTTTTTGACTTCCATTTACTTTCTCCTGAGGTAGCTTTTAATTTTGATATAGTGCCTTTCATTTATGGATCTTAACCTACTTATTACCAATTACTTGTGTTTGTTTTTTCATGGAGATGACTTTCCCATTGGGTTACCTTCTCTGTTTCCCAGTTGTTACTACCATTCTAGAAGCAACTACTATGTTGTTTCTAGCTAAAACCTAGAATAGAATTATTTACCCATTCTATTACTGTCATAATGTCAAATTTAACAAGTTTAACATGTTCTCTTACCAGTTTTCCTAATCTGAAAATATTTGTTCTGTAGCTTATTACTAGTTACCTCCTTGTGGCATATTGGTATTATTCCTTCTTAATGTATAGGAGCACCAGGCCCTGGCCAGCGAAGGAGTATGCAGTAGGTCAAACATTTTGCATTTGCTGACAGATGATTTGTGACATGCTCAGTGAACTCAGCCTGCACATTCACACGTTTATGGCCTTTTTGATAAAAGCAAAAAGAATGATTATATAATTTGTTTTTGCTTGCTGACTAGATGACATAAATCCTTGGGATAAGATTTCTAGTTTGAATACGTGTTAGAAATCCATTTTATTTGAGCATTCATTGAAACTCAGTTGTTTTGTTCAATATAAATTAACAGCTAGCCCATTGCTTATGCATATCTGAGAAACAAATATATAGGACCTGCAAATACAGCCCCCAAAAAAAATAATATTAGAAGTGTGAACATCTACTAAGTAATATCCTTCCAGAGCTGACTGTGATCACAGTGTTAATTGAACAGCTCCTTCTCCAGCTTGGAAGAAAACTAAAGCAGTATTTAATCAGTTCTGAGTTTTCACTTTTCTGCTTCCCATACATTTTTAATAGACAGCAGTACCTTTATCTCACAGTTCAGTCTTGCATAAAAGGAGCCAGAGGACCCAGTAAAGCCTATGCCTGGGAAGGGGTTAGGGTAGAAAGATAAGGACCAGGGCCAGCAGCATGGTGTCAGATAACTGGCTGTAGTGAGGATTGATTCTGTGACCAAATCAAATAGTTAAACCTCCCAGCTCTTGCTCGGTCAAAGAAGCATCAACCCTCTTCTATGCAATCTGGACAGCAAGCCAGGCAGAAACTCAATCAATTCAAAACTGAGGGGCAGGAGCAGTTAATGAAAACTCTTGATGACGATGCCAGTTCTCCTTTTATTCTAATGCAAAGCAAAAACTAAATGTAAACCACCTGGCTGGGCTGCTCGACTTCATACTGGAATGGATCGCAGTACAAAAGACACACAAGCACCTGCCACAGCTGGGACATGGCAGTCGTGTTCAACACCTGTTGCCTCTCAGCTGAAAGCTGTTGTATCCAAATTAAGACACTGGGTCACAAAGCTCGTTAGGAACAGACCAAACAAGTGGTGTGAGCATATGTGATCTGACGACTGCAAAATGGATCCAGTTCCACAAAGAGAAAAGGTAGCAGTCCAAAATCCAAACTACCAAGGAGCCTTTCAAGCGTTCCGCGGCACTAGAGCCTATTGTTTTATGTTGGCTTAGGCTGACCTGAGTCAAGGACAAAAGTGATTTGCACAAGGCTGAGTCTCTCACTGAAGAATGAGCCCATCAGGATTCATACAGGCAGTACACGTGAACAAAAACAGAGCCATATCATATTCTGTAGAGATCCTAGAAAATTAGCAAGAGGCTCAGAGACGGGTTCCATTTTCCTGTGATAGTCGTGTGATGCTTCTCCTTTTCCAGCACAAAGAGAAATACCAGCCCAAATCACCCACAGTTAGGCTGCTTGGTTGCTCAAGCAATGTTTAAGAAAATTCCAAACTTTGGAGTCCTAATGAAGAGGCATGTGCTATCTAAGTAAAAAAAAAAAAAGAGACAACAAAATCTGTATTATCATCACCTTAGAGGGAAGCAACAGCAGTGTTTTAGATGACTACATAACAAGCAAATTAATTATGCCCTTTGGGAAAGTCTGAAAGTTAGCCTCTAAGAAACTGGAAGCTTGGAACTGAACACTTGTTTTCTATGTCCCAGTCCTTACCTTCTGCTGGTAGCAAACCTTCAAAAATGAAAGTTAAAATATGCAAAAGTAACTAAAATGCCCCCTTAGACTTTGTATCAAGCCTAAGAGCTTTTATGAAACCTCATTCGTGTTTCCACAAATATTTATCTTATGCAAACATCACTGTGCATTAAAGGAGTTTGTTCTTGTTCCAGTAGCAATCTCAGTTGTCATCTGATTTCACCAACAAACCACTGCAGGCTTTGTAATAAGACTCTAAGGTATCTATAAAAGCAATCTCTTCGGAAGCAAATACCTGTGCCTGGAGTGTCCTTATATATTGATACCAGTAAGTAATAACACAGCTGATAATTTTATTTGGCTTTCACTTGATGATCTGAGAGCAAAATGCTACGAATAGAAGTTCTGCAGAGAGAGCAATGCAACTAGGTGCCAGGTTTCCAGACCCTCGGCTCTTTTTAATGTGTGATGGTAACTTCCAAATGGGGGGATTCCACCCCGCTGTGTAAAACTATGGAAATATATAGCAGCAACAAACTTTATGAAGTAATGTCTGCTTTACATGGCAGAGTGTTAAACAAACAATAAAGCAAAGCATTGATTGTTTAATGTAAAATACATATTGAAGAAAAATCTACTGAAATGTACTAATAAGGCTGCAGGAAGTTTAGGGGAGCAGTGAAACTTCCCGGGGAAACCTGTAAAATGGTTAAATGAGACTCTATGACCTCATTAAATTTTTATGTAGGTGTGTTTTTGTCAACACACACCTTGTAGGCAACCTTTTTTTTTTTTTCACTTCGTGATCTTGTTATTACAAATGCCCCATTGATCAAATGCTGAGCATGAGATCTAGATAGGAGTGTTGCAACTGAACAGTCGTGGCATGGTGAGTCTGAAAAGGATGGCTGCAAATTTTCCCAGAAATCTTAAAATTTATTGAAGTTCAGTCAAATTACTCCCTTTTACTCCATTTTCTCTTACCATGTATTCTGATGCCTGAATTAGGACAACTCCTAATTTTCCTACAAAACTTTCCAGCGCTCTGCAATCTACTTTTGTTTTTGTTTTCCTTTTAATTCCCCAATGGCAGAAGTTTCACATTTCACCCAGGCACTGGTAATTAGCCAAGGAAATTATTTAAATGCCAGATGTCACATATTAAATATAAATAACCTATGACCTTGTGTGCAGAATGCAAGCCCCTTTTCTATATGACTGCTGAATTTAACTTCCCCAGACACTGCCTCTATGCTGAAATAGTATCCGTCTCCTACGTAACATGGTTCTGCATGCTTAAAAAATTGATTTGACTTGTTAGCTGTGAGAGAAATAAAAGCTGTGATATTTTGTTTTTATGCCATTTGCAAATGAGTGCAAGTGTCTAAGGATATATTTGCAACAGTAAAAAAAAAAATCTTTCTGCACTCATGCTTTTTTTCAATAGTAGCTGTAAAAAGCATAACCGTCGACGCAGCCAAAGAACACTATCTGCTGATTCCAGAAGTCTTTCTCTGTGCTTTCTCATCTGCCCTTTCTATGCCACGCTGGTGTGTGTGGCTTCTAAACAGGTCCAGATTCAACCACGAAAGGGAACGAGATCAAGCATCTGAAATACAACCTTGTGCATTATATTCTTAATTCGAGTCTGTTTGGTTTATTGAATCATGCAGAACGAATGCCTGACCATGCTTCTTCCAAAGCCTATTCTGGCTACAATTGCACAGCTGGGTTTGATTTGCTGCCCGTAGGAAGGGGGGGAGGAATCCCTGTTTCTCCAAGACAAATACAGATCTTGGGATGTGGCTGCAGCTCCAGAATTCCTTGCTATCCAGCATAGGATGATGTGTGGAAAATAAAACACGGCACAACGCAGCCCTCAGGTTTTTGGAGCCGAGAGTCACAACACGCCTAGAAAATAGCCCCAGTTTGGAAAGGATTCAAATACCACAGGAAGCGTGTTCTTTCCTTCTTGAGGCACACGCAGTAACTCCAGCTTCTGACCAGATCAAGGTGTATCCCCATCTGGATGCAATAACACAGCCTAAAAGCAGCAAGGACAGAAACCACCTACAGATATTAGATGAATAAACAAAAGCACCCCCTCACAAAAACACAAGTGAAATAACGCTGCCCTCGTTACCTCCGCTGGTTCAGCAGGCAGTGGTAGCAAGCTAATGCCAAATCAGCCATCCACGCTGCGGACCTCAAGCACAGAGGTTGACCTAAGTCCCTGGAAATTGATGTAAACCCACGTCACTCTTTTGAGGGCCTCTGCCAACTCGCTCTCCGTCACGCCCCAATTACTCCTCAGCTCCATGGAAGGGGGTTGAAGGGGTTTTTCTTTTTACAAATTCAGCGCAGGAAGGACGTGGATTTTGGTGCAGCAGGACAAAGTAGAGTGAAGAAATATGGTGAAGAAAAGACAAAGGAAGGAGGGTATCACTGGCAAAAAACAGAAATTCTGAATTCAAAGAGTTGGATATACCTGATTTTGAAGGAAAAAGCCTTATGAAGGTTACTGCCTTACTTCCTACAAATTCTGTATATCCTTTCTGTTAGCTAGATGGCCACAAGATAACCGATTGCTCTATTTTATTTCAGGGTATGTGGTCTTTTCTCCTTTTTACCAACAGCTGTAAGTAGGACTGGAACCACTCCCCAGTGACCCGCAGGTATCATAGCTTTCTGAGTGAGTATCTGTCTCAAACGGGAGAAAAGATTTGTTTTACAGTCAGAGGAAAGGAGCAATAGTGTACATTTTTAGCTTAGCCTGCTGATTAGAATTATACTCAGAGCATCTCATCAAAGAAACGGGATCAATGCTTGTTGTGCTCACATACCCCCTTATGCAAAAACAAATTTGGTTGTATTTTACTCCAGGGACATGCATAATGAATAATGTGCTGGTGTAGCAGGACAGGAAAGTACTACAGTTACTCCACCTGCTGTAACCTGATACAACCATTATTTAACAATAAGATGAATTCTAATTTATCTCCTTTGAAAATCAGAAAGATTACCCCAAACTTTTAAGTCAAAAATTATCTGTTACCCTGAAACATTTCTCAAAGACCTGTTTTCATTCAAGAATGAAGGCACGAGGGCTTTTTTTAAGCCTTGGTTAATCCAATTACACATTCTTTTCCAGCTTGTCTTGCTCCATGACCTTGGATTTAGAGGTATAAAAGAGGCAACAGACCAAGGGCTCGTAAAGAAGGTTTGGGCTTCCTTTAGGAGAGGGAGTGGGCTCCCCTAGGATGAGCATCAGCCTTCAGTTTAAGCACTGCAGGAGCAGTAGCTGCAGTTGCCCATGGGTTTTATGTACAGAAACAGCTCGTGGTGCATGGGAAGCGACAGCAGAAGGGATGGCGCATTAGAGGATTAAGGGAAAGGCAAACCCCCAGCAGCTTTGTACTCTGCGCCACATGGAGCAGCCCATCCTCAGATAGAGGGACTCCTCCCTTGCCAAGGCCTGCAGAGGTTTTTCAGTTTTATTTTTAAGCATGATGCTTTCTGCTTCCACCAAATCTGTAAGACCAGAAAGGGGCTTTTTGTTTAGGCAAGGCTTCTTCAGCACAGATTACCGAGCTTCTTTATGAGCATGCAGACAGATGGCATTAACTGGGCCCTTACAATTCACCTAGACCCAGGACCCTACACTGGCTCCAAGCTCTGTTCTCATCACCTTTGCTGACCTACAGGAGCACATGGCTGCAGACACGGGTGGGGCCGCCACACCTGCATCCACACGAGCACCAACGCGCTCAGTGCCTGTGCACAGCGACGGGCTCAGTTATGGATGCACTGAGCAATCTGCCCCACGAGGCGCTGCCCCCCAGACCTGTGCCCATCCCCAGGAGCACTCCCCAGCCCCGGCTCCCCTCGCCCCCTCCCTCGCGGCGCGCCCCAGCCACGTGCCCGCCGGGCGCGCTCCCGCGCCGCCACGTGGCGCGCCCCGCCCCGCCCCTTTACGCGCTCCCCTTGGGCGGTGCCTCCCTGCGAACTACAACCCCCAGCAGCCCCCGCGGCCGGGCGGGGCCGCGCGACGTCACGGGCCCAAACCCCGCGCGAGGCAGAACCCGAGCGCTGAGGGAGGTGGGGGGGGCGACTCCTAACAGGGGGCGTGTCCTAGCCGGAGGGGGGCGGGGCTTCCCCAGGCGCGGCCAATAGAGGGCGCTCCCGCGCTGATTGACAGCCGGAGCCCCCCCGCCCCGCCGCCCGCCGCCGTCCCTCAGCCCGCGGCGCCGCCCGCTGCTATGAGGCGGCCCTGAGCGGCGGCGGCGGCCCAGCGCAGCCCGGCCCGGGGTTGCCGGGGGGGTCTCGCTTCGCTTCGCCCCGCCGGCCAACCCCATGACTACGGCAAACTGCGGCGCCAGCGACGAGTTCGACTTCAGGCTCATCTTCGGCGAGGACGGGCAGCCCGGCCCCGGGCCGCCGCTGGGGCCTGCAGGTGCGCTCCGCGGGGCCGGGAGGGGACCCCGTGACGGGACCGTGACGGGACGGGGGGGGGGGGGGGTCGCGTTCTCCTCACGGCGAGGCTGGGGGAGCAACGAGGGGGCAGGGGGGCAGCGGGGAGGTTGTGGGGGCACTTAGGGGGGTATCGGGGAGATCTGGGGGGTTCCGGGGGTTTTGGGGGGTTTTTGGGGAGGTAGCGGGGGGTCTGGGGGGAGCGGCGCCGTCCCGCCCGCCCTGAGGGGCCGCAGCCGCCTCACGGCGCCGCTCCCCGCCCCTCGCCGGCGGGAGGCCGAGGGGGCGCCGCCGCCGGTTTCTTGGGGGAAAAGCAAAAAAAAAAAAAGTTTTAAAAGACTCACAGAAATAAACCCCAAAAGTTCGCCCTGCGCCGCCCGGGGAGCCCAGATCGCGATGTGGGGGCGTGCTGAGGTGCAGGGTTTGGGGCCCGGGGACCCCCCTGCAGGGTTTGGTGGCACTGCTGCCCGGCTGTGGGGCGCCCCTGCAGCCTGGATCTCGTTTCAAAACCCCTCTCGGTTCCTCGAGCAGCGCCCAGCGCACGAATTCCCCCCAGGTTGTCGTGCAGGGGATGAAGGAGAGCCAGCTGTGCGGCGTGTGGCTGCGCTGGACTCGGCCGGCTCTGCGCCTCTTTTGTGACCTACTTGAAATAAGTGCTGGCTGGTAACGCGCCGTCCCGAGCCTGCCCGGTGAGATGGCAAGATAGGTCTGAAACGCAGCTGGAGCCGGGCGAGATGGTGCAGCCATGTTGTTGTGTGCGCTCGCTTGCTGGTCTGCAGAAGTTGATCAGGAAAAAAATTCATCGATACGCTCTGTGTAGAGTCCAGCGCGAACGCTGGGGAAGAGTTGCTATAAAAACAACCCCAGCCTCCAACTTTTTTGATGCAGAGTTTTAGCTTACAGATTGCTCCAACAAAGGGGGGGATTTTCCTCCCTTATTTTCCAGCTTGGTGGAGTAGACAGGAATAGTAAAAAGCAGATGGTGCTTTTGGGAAGGGGGCCTGAGTTCTGCTAGCCAAAACAAACGCGTTGTAGCACCCGATGAACAGGATGCGTTCAAGTCAAACGGGAAACAATGGGGAGTGTTAATAAATTACAACAAAAATAATGGTGACGTCCCAATTTCTGTTTGCTTTTCTTTTCATGTTAAACTAATAATCTAAACTATGTTACTCAGTCAATGGTAGATGAGAATGAGAAAATGAGTACAGAAAACTGGACGCTTTTATAGTACTTGTATTTTGGTAGCATTCCTTAACCAGTGGCTCAGATATTACTTTACAAAGAGAGCGAAACTTCCATGCTTGATAATTTACAACTGTTTTTAAGGCAAATTTGAAAATGCGATATTCAGACGACGAACAGATTCGTTTGCCGTGGCTTTCAGTGAGAAATGCTTGGCAGGGGGTTGGACCAGATGATCTCCAGAGGTCCCTTCCAGCCTCAGCCATTCTGGGATTCTCTGATCTGCGTCCCCAACTCAGGAACTTGACAGCTTGGTGACATGCTGGGGGTGGCTGGTCTGTGCCCCAGACGTGGTCCTGAGGCGGAGGGGTTACAAAAAGGCCTCTGCCTCTTGGCATTGCCACAGCTTAGCTGTCAGTTCTGCCTGTGGATCCAGAGCTAGATTCCTCGTAAGAGAGGACCCTAGTTAGAAGTCGTATACTTTCCCTTTCCCCCTTGTCCAAGTATATTAGTCGAACAGAAGTTGTTGCATCTCCTTAAAGCACGTGTTTCGTAATCCCGTGTCACTCGCTTCAATGATATTGTCAGTTGTGCAGCAAAGTAAGGGTGAGGTTTTTTTTTCTCCTAATATGTAGTGATAATAAAGTGTGTAGGTGACAGGGGAAGCTACTTAATTTGAAATAAATAATACTTAAATTGCCAAGTTTTCTGTGATTATGAACACTTGGAAAGTTCTTGTGCCTCATGGTCATCTCCCGAGGCGTTTGGGATCGGCATCTTCATGAAAGAAGTGTCTGGTACTGAGTTCTGGTGCAAATAGCACGGAAATCTAAGTTAATGCTTTCTTTTATGCTGAGACTACTGCAGTATTGTGAGGATTTAATTCTTCCATGTGGGTCCATAAATAATTATATATCTTAATTTGTGACTTTTTAACCAAAATCAAAAAACGTGAGCTATTCATTCATTTAATGTGTGTGGTTTTTTTGTTGTTTTTTTTTTTTTATTATTACTTCTGAGTGATTGAGAAAATGCTAGACACGGGCTGCAGTTGCCGTTTTTTGTGACGTGAAAAGGTCGATATGAGAAATTAAACCAGGCTGTATTCTGAACTAACGCATAAAACACTCTCGGGGGCTTGCAGGATGCTGGAACTAAAGGGCTTGGCTTTGTGCTCAGTGGCAGAGATTGAGACGACCGTTCTGCAGTGGAGCTTGTGCGCTAGATCTGAAAATTGTAGCTCTTGCTGCTGAGGGGAATGCATGAAAGATAGCTCTAAGGCACTTGAGAGGCTGTGGCCTAGTACTGCAGTCTGCTGTGTTCTTTGGTTAAAATCAGGGGGATTGCCCACTTCATATACCTCGTGTCCTGACATGGGCATTTGCTTGGGTTCAGAAGTGCTTCAGATACTTGTAAGTGGAGGTTAGGCACTGAGCACCTTCTGCCAAATCTCCCCTGGTGTTTCAGTGTCCTTGTCCCCAAGATCGCTTTTATCTTGCAGTGTTCAGTGCTCAGAGCAGGTGGTTCTGGGCTCTAGGTGCAGGTCAGCTTCGTCTGCTGACAAAACACTGCAGGCCTCGAGTGCCCTGAGGTGAACCAAGGCCCTTTGTTGTGCTCTTCCTTGTAAAACTATTTTGTTAGTTGGGGCAGCATCTGACTGCATCTTGCCACCCAGTATCAGTTGCCTTTGGGATGCTGAAGTAGGCATTTGGATTACGGTATTGTTGGTCCTGTGCACTCCAGTAAAAGAGGTTGCCATGTAACTGCCTTTGTTGGTCAACATATTTGAGGTGCCACCACGTTTGGTCTTTTTAATTAGAGATTTTTGAGATTTGAATATGTAACACTCGACTAGCAGAATTTGAATACTGTTTTTTCTGATGCCGCCACCCCTTCTACCACTCAGTTTGCAATACTATTAACTGTAAGCTTGGGAAGTTTGAATTTAGAATTGATAAGGCATTAATCAAGTAAACTGCATAAT